CGTGATAACTAATTAGACGTGATAATTGGAAATTACTATCTAAAAGGACTTGTTCATATCTAATTCTAACAACTACGGTACATGTTGCTTTTATATAAATCCAAGATATAATTTCTAGACTATACGAATTCATGTACACTATATCACTTAAATTCTATTGGTTCAATATTCATTCGTTCATTCGTTCGCTCATTCGCTTAGTTATTCATTTGTTCGCTTGTTCGCTTGTTCGTTCGCTTGTTCACTCACTTCATGTGATATGATCTTTATCCAATAATATATGAAATATTTATAATCCAATAATAAAATATTATGACGTAAGGTCATTATACAACAATGTTAAAAATATTTTGAAATGTCTTATTATGGAAAATCATATATAAATTATTTGTAAAATTATACAATATCACTTTAATTTTTTGGAAATATTTAGAGACATTGAACAATCAAATTTAATGTTATGCTATTAGAAATTGAGTTGTAATATGTGTAATATTAACTTGTATTTAGTTAATATAGCATTAGAAACTTGTATATATAGAAATGCTCTCAAGCCTCTGAAAATACATGCTCTAATCAATAAAAGTGCCAACTTATAAATATAATTTACTTGTTAACAAATCTTTTTACTTGATTACCTTCAAATCTTGTATTCAAGTAGTAGAAGACCTCTACTTTAAATAAACCATATCCCTTTTGAATTTATTATTTTGTTTAGACAGTCTCAATAAGTCCTATTGTATTCTATCTTTAATTAGTATTTTGGTTTTGGTTTTGTTAAGTTATTTTGTTATCGTTATATTTTATTAAATCCCCTTTATCTTTTAATTGTACCAATTCCAGTCTTCGCAAAGATTGACACAGGAGACCTTTAGAACCTTTAGAGAACCCCTTTATTTGTAAATCATTCAGTCTTAGCTCAATTTTTGTGTTGCGCGCTTATTCTTTAATTATAACAATTAAAGTATACACATAACAATATTGATTAACCAATTCATTTTCTGTTTCTTCAGTATACAATCTACCCTCTCTATTGTCAACATGACGGGACCAGGCATTTTCGTTGATATTTAAGAGGGTTGATAACTCAGAGGTTGGAGTTAGTATTGATATATTAGTCCAAATGAAATTTGTTCTGCAATAAATGTTGATAATAAAGAGGTATTGATATTAAAGAGGTTGATAATAGAGAGGGTAGACTGTATATGTTTTGTTTCAGATAAGAATGCTTGCTGAAATTATTTTGCAAAAGAGGTTCAACGTTTGATAGGTAAAAACTCATTAAAAAAATAATTGCACGTTTGTTTGGAGAATAGTTAGCTAGAGTTTGAGAAGTTGAACGTTTTGTATACTGCCGCCGTCATTTCAAATCCATTTTAATTCTTTATGCTGTTAAACTGACGGTGAGTATTACCGAGAAAGAAAAAGCGAAAACTAATAATTTATTGTTATTTTTGAAAAGTACTGGTTCTTGGCTCAAATGGATGTGGCTAACTTCAATCATGATCATTCACCACCAGAGCTCACGGATAAAAAGTCAAGATTAGCCATCTGAGATGATGCCGGAATTTAAATATGCTCATCTCGCATTTGATCACGAATTCAAAGATAGATCAATTACGTTAAACATTTTCAGAACTACCTCGATTTAAGTCACCATAAATCATTAGACACTTACATGCCCTATCTCGCCGTTATACAATCTTCGGGTTACGGCAAGTCGAGACTCATAAAAGAGTATGCAAACGTCGTCTACACCTTATACCTAAATTTAGATATTAATCGAAATTGTTTCCTCCGCCTTCAATCTGCGCAAAGAAATTCATCAATCCATTCGAACTTTCAACATTTTCTCGATAAAGGCAATCTCCTTTATAAAAGAATGGGTCTACTCCAGGCGAATTTTGGGCACACCATCAAGAAGATGAAGGCAAATCTACTTGGGAACCTGCGATAGAAGCTGCAAATCGGCACGAAATCAGCAAACAAGAACTGGAATCGATCAGGGTTAATGTAGGTTATTTATAGAAAATTTCATCTGAGATCAAGATCTTGCTTTGTGTTGATGAACACTCTTACAGTACGCGAACAAGAGTCTACCTATGTCTTTGTTTCGATGTTGGTGCTCTGATCAAATAAGTGGCAGGCAAGAGGCAGATTTTCGGCAACCTTGGACGCTACGTCGCAACTCTCAAACTTGCACCCGCCCCAGGGAACGACCCAACCTTAAAGAACTTTCTGATGATTACAAGCTCTTCATGCAGTTGTTTCCACCTTTGAATCTCTGGCTGAAGCCTCAGGTGATTCCTACAATCGTGTATTCTCTAGAGGAAGGCCATGTTGGAAGGCGCTCAAAGATGCATATCGCGGAGATTCTGAATCTAGTATAAGTGAAACTTATGCCTGGAAAAAAGTCAAAGGTCTTGTGAAGGCGAAACTACAAGGGGGAACAACCACTTTATTAAATAAACAATAGTGCTGACATTCATGAAGAACGAAAAAACCTTGCAAGTGTAGCCGTCCTCGCTTCCTTGTGTTCCGTGGATATTTCACCATCAGTACACTTTGCTTCAAGTTTTATTACGAGCGACCTTGGCACCTTGCAATCTCTCAAGATAGAACAAAAGTTTTGGCCTGTTATCCGCCGGAACCGTTGGTCACTGAAGCTGCCTATGAACTTTTGGACGATGATATGTTGCATCGTATCGCTCAAGCACTTATTCAAGGAATCGTGGAACCTGGCGAGATAGTCGGAGAGCTCATCCTCGTATTGACCCGTCAGAAGCTTCAAGAGGCCAAAAAGCCAAGAATATTAATTTTTATGCTGGGGAAGTTAAACTTTTTGAAAGAATTATTGAACATCATATTACAAAATGACAATTTGGAACACAATCGTCCGAAACTGGCGTGGCATTCAATCTCAAACGAAATCAGAAAGGTGCTGACTTCTTGATACCTATCTGTATCGAAAGTCTGTTTACGTTCTGGATTATCCAAATCAGCCTATCAAGTACCAATTCCAATCTGACACAACATCCAACTGACGACTTTGAAAAGAGTAATCTGAAAGAATTCGATGTTCATTATCTTGCTATGTATTGGCAACTTGGTGCTCATGAAAATTAATGGATTGGAGTTGCTGGTAACACAAAAATCTACTCAGAATCAAAAGCCAACCACACATTGATCCTTATTAGATCAAACTAATTATTTCGAAACATTCTGCCCTGGCACAAGTTGGATGGGAATCTATTGTTGGACAGATACAATGATAATGACGCCCAAGATTAAAGTATACATAAGTAAGGGCAAAGCATATAAAAGTTAGTTAAAAAGTTAGTTAAAAAAGTAGAAAACACATCAAATATAAAACTTAAAGATGAGTTTATTGTTAATTCAAATAGTTAAAAATCGAGCTAAATAATAAACAGCAATTTTACTTTACAAAAAGTTTACTATGATTATTTCCAAACTAATAATTTGATAACCAATATCACTCTCCTCCGAAGATATTTTACACGTGAAGTTTCTTATTAACATAATCCATCGGATGTCCACTTTCAAATACAGTAAAACCTCTCTAAGTGCATCCTCTATAAATGTACGCACTATATAAATTCTCTCTAAATGCATGGTATGGCTTGGCTCCAAGTTATTATAAGGCAAATATTGTTTACTCTAAATGCACACCCTCTCTATGTGCACACACTGCCTGTTTTTTACTATGGTCCCGAGGGGGGTGCACTTAGATAGGTTTTACTGCATTGAACTTATACCATAATTTAATGATTGTAGATACTGGTCCTTTAACTTTGTTAAAGTTTCGATATCCTCGCCTTGTTGCTATTCAAAGATTTCTTCATTACCTCAATTAAATGCAACGCTGCACCATAACTAGACTGATAGCCATATCCGCCATGCCCATAATTATGACACACCAAAACTCTCTTACCACGGCCTAATGAAGAATTTATCCATTCTGTTTCAATCCGAATTCCATCTTTCCGAACAGGTCTCAATCCAACACTATGTCTTTTAATCTTTAGTTCTTTTTGACCAACAGGTAAGAGGTCAGGTCGAGTAGTCAAACATCGTTTTATTATTGATTCAGCAATTACAGGATCCGGAACTGTTGTATAATCGTTCTCAACATACGTACCACCTAGAACTACTTCACCGTTATTACGCGGGATCACATATGTGACTGGTCCTTTAAATATCCCTTCATTACTCCCACGCGGATACCGTAAAAAAGTCCATGTTACATGTGTTGGTGGTAACTCAACAATAACGATTTGACCTCGTGCAGCATATACATTCGCATCTTGTACCCCACCCAACGTTCTAGAATGTATTCCGGTACAATTAATCACAATATCAGTATCGGTGAGAATTGCATCTTGTATGTGCGAAAATTCTTTGCGTTCTATATTTCCACCCAAAGCGAGAAAAGTGTTCAGCAAGAAACCGAGATAAATAGTAGGATTAATAGTGACCGTTTTATACGTAATCCCGAATTCTACATTATCAGGTAATTCTTCTTTTTGTAAATGACGATATCCCGGACAAAAATTTGAAAACCACGGCTCAATAAAATCTTCTTTATGCTCGTCCCAATAATCAAAACTATCAACGATCATGATCCCGGTTTCTGCCGGTTTCGTTTTAGCCAATTCGAAAAAATGAATTAATGTTTTTTTTTCGAATTCTTGTAGTCGTTTGTCGGTGATTGATGCAAAACCTCGCCAATTTGCGCCTGCCCATGGACTTGTATATTCGTCAGATAGTTCTCCGGGAAAGTGTTTTGCAACTATAGTGACATGGTAACCTTTTTCTTGCTTTAACAGTAGAATGGCTGTTGTTAGACCTGATACACCGGCACCAATAATTACAACGCGTTTCTTTGACATTATGTAAAACAAAATGATCGTTCCAAAAGTTTTCATTTGATAACTGAATCTGTGCCAGGTTTTGTCGATCCCGGAAAATTCTATCGTAATGTTAAAGGTTAAAGTGGAGATCAAAGTTTAAACTGAACTCAAACCAGATTTTTGATCAAATTTGAGTCTAATTCAAGCTTGAACTGAACCAGACTTGAACTGAACCAGACTTTTTTCAGAATTCTATTTTAAACTTATTAATTATATATACATTTTTATAATATTGTTGTAATATGAATTTTGACATATCACATGACTTTTTATAGTTTATTTTAATTGGATAATTGATTTGTAAATCATATCCATATTTATTTTATATTATTCATATTTTACTTATATTATTTTTATAATATTTTATTCTATTTCATAATATTCTATTTTTATTTCATATTATTTCACTCTATTTTTATTATATTTCATACTATTTTTATATTATCACTGTTGTCATGATCGGGCTCCTGGTAAGTATAATCGTGACGTAGGTGTTCAACCAACGTCTGATAACAGTATTTTTACGGTTACTCGATCTTGTTGTAATTAATACACTTCAGGATCACCACGCTGTTATGGCCCGGAATTATCCTTAATTCCTTAATTTCTTAATTCTGATCATGTGACTCAATATAGATTGTAGAGATAGCAGAGATAGCAG